CTTCGAATACTGTAAGACAGCTGTTTCGTCAGCCTAGTCAGGGACTCTACGTTTATCTAGGAATAAAGAAAATTATAATCATAATACATTTTAGTTCGTATAGCACTACTATCTTTACCTTTCAGTAGTAAGTATAGTTATCATTGAAATGTATTTCTAAAAACTTACAAAAATATCAATTTTATGTGTAATAATTATAACAGTAATGACAACCACTCAAAATTGAGTTAATTTTAGCTGTCTAGCTTTTGTAATAAAGGTCTGTTTGAATGAACATATGGATAAAGTATATTTATTCTCCAAGATTATAACTGCTGTGCACTGTTAACCAGATGTGTTGACACACATACACAGCCCTTCTGTTTTTAAAAGTTACATAATAATAGAAAGCATGCAAACACAATAATCTTTCATTCATTCCCCCTTTAATGAAATTGAACAAAACAACAACTACAGTGGTTTTTGCAGAATAAACTGGTACCATCAGTGTTTATTTCGTCGCCTCCTCGTCAGCTGCTTACAAGTCAAAGACATTAATAAATATATCTACAAAAACAATTTTAACACACTTGCACAGAGTTCATTTCAAACAAAAATCAATCAATCACTAAATGCATACAGTATTAATATATACATATATATGTATATGTAATATTAAACACTATTCCGAACAATAATGTTCATATACAATGAAAACCTTTCGGCGTACCGCGTTTAGATGAAAGAGAGATGAAAATATCCAGCCAGTTACCAGGCAGGGCGAAAAAACACTGATAACCGCTTGTTTCTGAACGCAGAAATCAGGTTTCTATCGCTTGATCGAAATGGCTTCATCAAACCTGAGGAGAATCGAGCACTTTTGCCTATTGATAATTTTGAACGAATTCGACGTCCACCTCGTGACCGACCTGTGTGAAGGAGATGCCTGGCGATGGATGACACTGTTTAAAGCATTTGTTCCCAGCTGAAGACATAAGCTTTTTGGTACATGTTCAGAAAATCGTAGATATGCCCTTCGTCTTCTTTCTGTTCTTCCAATGTAACTGCTCCTGCAGACACATGTAAATTTGTGTATACAGTTGGAGTTGTTAACATGAGAAGGATATCTATCGATTTTTGATTGCATCACAGAAGAGAAAGTTGTTCGACAGACAGGGACTAGCTTAGCTGCAGGATACGCTATGGCTAGTGATGTACTCAGTCTTCTGTTGACGCTTGCTGCAATGTTTTCGCCTTTATAATCAAGCTGAATGTGGATTGACCTTTTACCCACTGTGATTTGTTTGACATTTGTGACTTCAGATCCTCCCTACTTGTTGATGAACCTTTCAGGGCAACCATTATTGCTCTTCAACATCTTTTCAAAAACGTAAATTCTTCCTCTAATTTCTCTACAGAGCATATTCTCCTGGCTCTATAATACAGAGTCTTGACTAGCAGTCCGCGTTTAAAGCTATTTGGACAAAAACTATTAAAATGTAAGTATCATCCTTTCCGTGTAGACTTTTGATAAATTGACTTCTGAAGACTACTTACTTTCTTCTAGGCGTTGCTTGGCAATGTCGAGGAAGTGGAACTTTCCGTCACTTTCATGTTCCATAGTAAACTCAATATTGGTGTTTGTGGATCATTGAATAATCTGAGTAAATGTGAAGCATGACTTTCACCGTTGCACACTACAAATGTGTCATCAACATATCGACAGTATGAAGGTGTTTCGCCGATTGAATGCTCCAACTTTGTTCTTTCAAGCTTGGACATGAATATATATATTTGATAAAACACGGCTAAGTGGACTGCTCATAGCTACATCATCTATTTGGCGGTAAAGAGTGCTGTCAGATAGGAATTGCATATCCATAGTACACATGAGCAGTAGGCGTTTAAATTCCGACTCTGGGATATTTTCATCTCTCTTTCATCTAAATGCGGTATGCCGAAAGGTTTTCATTGTATATGATCATTATTGTTCGGAATAGTGTTTAATAACACATATATATATATATATATTACTGTATGCATATATTGATTGATTTTTGTTTGAAATGAACTCTGTGCAAGTGTGTTAAAATTGTTTTTGTAGATATATTTATTAATGTCTTTGACTTGTAAGCAGCTGACGAGGAGGCGACGAAATAAACACTGATGGTACCAGTTTATTCTGCAAAAACCACTGTAGTTGTTGTTTTGTTCAATTTCATTAAAGGGGGAATGAATGAAAGATTATTGTGTTTGCATGCTTTCTATTATTATGTAACTTTTAAAAACAGAAGGGCTGTGTATGTGTGTCAACACATCTGGTTAACAGTGCACAGCAGTTATAATCTTGGAGAATAAATATACTTTATCCATATGTTCATTCAAACAGACCTTTATTACAAAAGCTAGACAGCACAAATTTACTCACGTTTAGTGTATTTACTCTAGTACTCACTAGTAGAGGGAATAAAATTCACAGTTGAATCGGAAAATGAACAAGGAGAATTAGCCGTTATGTTAGATTGTAAAATAAAACGAATAGAAGAAGGTAAACTGCACAATAGTGTTTATAAAATACCAACGGATTCTGCTTATAGATATTAGACCTCCTTAATTCATCTCATCCGTTAACTGTCTGTGAAGGCAGGCTCAGTTAAGCGAAGTGTCTAACAAACCGAGCAGTAGCACTAAGTAGCACAAAAATAAACCACCTAAATGATGAAATAAAACAGACAGAGGAAGACGTTTTGGTGCTAAATGACTAACTATCCTATAAAATTCATTAGGGAGATCGAAAAACGCCAAAAGCAAAATCGAAAAATAATTGTGAAACTAGTAATGATAACACAGTGAGACTTTATCAAAACAAAGATTTACCCTTAATGGAACTACTAATGATAAGATAAATAAGTGAGGGTATATAAGTCATCCATATAAACAGGAGAAATATGAGACATTAAGTAGGATTCTGTAGGTTAAAGGACCCTGTCGGTTAACCCAATTAGATAAAATAATATAATTTACAAAATACCCTCCAATGACTGTAAGTTAAGTCAACTCCATAGGTGCAACAGACTAGTAGATCGGGGATAGTCAGATTATCAGAACATAAGAATTTAGCTTAGGTAAGAATGATTGACCCCACCTGAGAAGATATGTAATTTAGAAAGGCAGCTCAGCGCTAAATTGCACTGCATGCATTAACACACAACCACACAATATCACAGTGGGAGAGGGTTACGATTCTAAGAAGTAATCTAGGTAGGTGGAGAGAGAGATAGAGATTGATTACTGAATCCTGTCTGGTTCATCGAGTCTACACCCAACACAACACAACACATGCAACAGGAATAACTCTGCAAATACCACAGATATGCATGGAAGACATTATTACCACCAGTCAGTCAGTCAGTCAGTCAGTGAAATCATAGGAGGATAATAAATAATCTTGAATTGTATTCTATTTCAATTCAATTCACGTACATCATCACAACATTCTAACAAGTTACTCACTTATTTTGACTAAAAAACAAAAACGCTCGTTTCATTTCCCATCTGATTGTAATTGATCACTCATAACACTCATATTATTATGATTATTATTTCTGAATGTACATTATCCTATATTACTGATTTGTATTCAAATGTCTAGTCACAAATTCCACTCATGTATGTAAATGAAGGAATCAAGAAAGTTTTTGTGAGTGAGTGAGTGAGTGACTTGATGTGATGATTATGAGTGGCAATGCTAAATTGTGTTCGAAACGTGGTCATCCGTAAATATTACTGTGTAACACACTGTACGATTCATTAAAATAAAATCGTATCCATAACGGAGTCAATTGCTGATTCATTTGACTTTTAGCAGGACACAGAGCTTCAGAAGCTCATTTCCATTAAACTGGTTTTCCGTACTATTACTCGGTGACTGTTCACACACACTTTATTCACTCCCAGAATGCTCTTCTTCGTGTCAAATCTTGCTTAACGGCTAACTCTTCGTCGCTTGGCATTAGGCTAACACTACTTGGCACCCTGTCTAGAGTATGGTATCACTGAATGATTGTCTTCTTAGTGTATGTCCGAACCATCCTCACTCACTTCAGAATTGTTAAAAAATGTCTGTTTCACCTTCTACTGTTTATATAATATCTAGCTTTTATAAAATCTTTACAAGTTTTTTAGAAATGCGCATTTTAATGATAACTTTACTTGCTACTGAAAAGTAAAGACAATAGTAGTGTACGAACTAAAATGTATACAGTTTCTTTCATTTATCACATAAACAAACAATGACCAACACTATTCAGCAAAGGACAAACGGAAAATCTATTCTCAGCGCTATTCTATCTCAATCATCATGTGGATACAGAACACACCACAAAACTGATTGATGTTAACCAGGCGGCGGCTTTCAGGGTCATTTCCTTACCTACGGGATACCAACCAACAGATCTCAAATTCGCCTTAAGAGTATTTCGAATACTGAATATTTCTGAGGCTGGCTGGCTGGCTGGCCATTGGGATCCATATGAACAAGCCTAATTTATGCATCCAAAAGAATTTAGTTGGTTGAGACATTATCCTTACCCACTCGCTTGGCCATCCAGGTTTGAATGATCCTCAGTTTTTGTGTAATTTTCCTAATTTTAGTTGATATTCTATTTGTTACTATATCTTTATTATTATTATTATAATTTAAGCGTCTTTAACGAACTGTGGTAATTCCATTGTGATATTACTTTACAAATCGATATTATTTAGAAAACACGCCGATACTGTTATTGACTACTACTAATCTAGAATATTCCATGTATATAAACATGCATATGCATATAATTGAAGAAGCAGAGGTGGAGGAATTCATCGAACCGGGGATATTCTTTGATGGCTCAATTGTTTTGTGTTTTATAGATGTCTGGATGAAGATTCTTTTGCTATAATACTGTTAAAATAGACCGTTTTTTAGCCTATCACTAGTTATCGCTATTATATATTACTTGCCTAATTTTTCGTTGTAGATTGATACTTCTACTTCGTCTGTATACCATGAGATCGAGAAATCTCTGTATTATTTGAAAAATTATGAAAATACATCCACCACATATCAGTCTAGTTTCACACCTTCTGAAGGATGCACTAAATCATCATCCAATAGCATTGCTGATCCATCAACAACTGCTGTTTCAATAAAGGATAATTCCTCAATACCTGTTGTTCAACAATTCTGTCAATCAAACTGTACTCTGTGTAGCCTAATGATGAATACTTCTCATTATGTTGTGAATACTTCTTCATGTGAAACAGCGCATCAAGGATTCAGGCCAGTAGAATATGCAGATACAATTCCAAATACAATGAAATGCTCTGACTCACTTGTGTTATTCAGTAAAGAGGGACAACCACAACACCACCACCACCAACAACAAGAACAACAACAGCGGCGATATGACTTCTCTTCTAATCCATTAGTCTCCTCTATATATTCTGAAGTTTGTTCCAACTGTCGTTATCATAATCTATGTGATAATGACACACTTGTCAACAGTAATAATCCAACTATTCCAATGAGTAACAATGATACTGGGAAGGAGTACAATTCGTATAGACGTACAAATTGTGCAAAGCATTCAGGCATATGCGATTCTAACAACAATTGTAAGTGTTATCACTTTTAAAAACTACTGTATTACTGTATTTTTTTATTAAAAATATTTTTTTACTAGTTTTACCCCACACGGATTGATATCGATGAGGAGTTAGAGAAGCATCGAAAACCAGCCACAGAGAGTACGGGACAGCCAGCCGTTTCATCAGCCCAGTTTGGGAATCATCGGCAGTACGCACCCACTACAGAGAGGGGATTCGTAGCCAGGACCTTCCGGTTACAAGGCAAGGTAGTATACCATTGAGCCAATGGGACTCAATTCAGTTCTAAATTCTACCACCATGGATGAAATAGCAGCTGTCTGGCAGTACTCCCTGTGGATGGTTTTCAATGGTTCTCTAACTGATACCAATCCGTGATCAACTCGTATAAACATAACTAACCCATACAAACCAAACTATAGAAAATTAATCTGATGATGCTTGCTAGTGACTTGACTCGCTACAGGATGGAGTTTCTTGGAGTCAGTTCTATTGAGAAGTCGTGACCAATGAGGTCCATCCAGATGTCAAGTGTGACGATGTGTGTCTCGCCGATAACACTAGTTGGTGCCAATCGCGCTAAATCCTGAATTAGTAGAAGTTATAATTCATGGACTGGCTGGCCATTGAATTGGGTCCCGGTGAGTGGATGAATGGTATACCACCCAGTTTGCCTTGTAATCAGAACGTGGTCTTGGGTTTGAACCCTCTGTTGTGGGTGCCTACTGCCGATGATTCTCAAACTAGGTTGATGAAACAGCTGTCTAGCAGTACACCCTGTGGTTGGTTTTCAATGCTTCTCTAACTCCTCATTGATAACAATCCGTTCGTGGTCAAACTCGTAAAAATAAATCTAATCCTTGCAAACCAACTCTTTAAAATATTGTATTTATTGTGTGTGTGCGTGTGTGCAATGATGAGAAAGCCTCATTAACATCAATCAATCTTTTGTTCTGTATCCACAAGATGAGTAAGATAGAATAAAGCAACCATGAGTAGATTTTGTTTGTCCTTTACTTAACCAACCACTGTGCAGGACGACGTTTGGAAATCCGATGATAAACAAGGCATATGTGACTGGTTCCAAATTATTGTTATTATTTCGTTTAATTCGTAAAAGAACATTGGGCTTCAGCTAAACGTCTCCATTGCGTTCAGTTCTCTGCTAAAGTTTTCACCTGGCTCCAAGTGTCCCCACATGCTTTCATCTCTTCTCCACATGACCTCCTCCAAGTCAGGCTCCCACTGACGACCAACTCACCGCTTCCCTTTCGGATTCCACTCGAGCAGCGGCTTGTCTAGTGATGCCAATTTATGGTTTGTTTTCTCAGAGTATAGCCAATTCACCTCCATTTCTTCCTACATATTTGTTGCACAATCAGTTCCTGCTGTGTTGGTTCGCTCATTGCCAGAGATCCCTGATGCTGATATTTTCTGGCCAGCCTTCGGATCTTGAGTGGTATTGAGCGAAGACAGCTGGCTGTTGATGAAGGTGTGTAGTTTGTTTGAGGTGCTCTTTATGAGGCGCTGGCCAAGTCTCTGATCCGTATAGGGATTAGCACTGACTAACTTCACATTGGAGTTGAAAATCATGATCTTATTTTTGATGCTGAGCAGTGCTGTTGACCTCCACACAGACTTAAGAGTAATGAAAGCTTGCCTTGATTTCCCGACTGGTTCCAAAGGAGCAGTCAAAGTGATAGATACACACTGAAGAGGCGAAATTGGGCAGTTTATCTTTAACTGTCTTAGGCGAAATCATGAGGGGTGGTGGTTTTGAAGACACAGCATACTTCAGCAGCACCAGCACTGGATGCTCTGTTTGCTGCAGTTCTTAGGTGTTGTGTTAATATCTCCGAGTAGACTGATGTTGTGAGAATAAGGCCATTCTTTGTGGGGAATTGTTGGTTTGTACTTTCACCTGCCTTGACTATTTGATTCATATTCTTATCAATGATTTTTTTTGGGTAACCGTCCTCAATCAGCAACTGTTTAATAATATTTATAAGCTCTTCATTGAAACATTCATCAGAGTTGATTGTGCTTGCTCTGTGAACAGAGCACTTTATCAGATTGCGTTTGTATTTCAAAGGCACTAACCTGAAAAAATGAGTATACTGAGCACCTAAACTTATTGTGCCATGCTCTTTTCTGGTCACAAGGACGTCTAGTCTCTTTCTTTCCCATACAATAGAATGAATGGGATAGGATGACAGTTTTAAAATCCAATGTCACAGGGTGTAGGGAGGGAGAGATTGATAACAACGGAAGCTTTGTTTATCGAATCAACTGAGAGAGAATACGTGTAATAGGAATGATTCAACACCTGTCCACACAGATATCTGAAAAATTCTACTATCCCAATGATGGCGAAAAATAGGAGAGGACAAAGAAAACCATAAAAGTCAAGTTTCGAAGCCGTGTGATTATAATTGATGGTGAAATGATTATGAACAGCAATAATGAATTTTGTTCAAAACTGTGTCATCCAGTAAGTACTAATACTGTTTCACTGACTGTGTGTGCGATACGTCTAATAAACAAATTAATATGGAATTACTTACTATCATCACCACAGTACCCAAGTTGTACACACATATTAAGATATAACCTTGTGGTATTTTTTGTACTGTTTCAGGCTCAAATTTCTACGTTGACTTTATTCTCTTCACGACAGATGTATCCTCTGGTTTTTTCCAGAATTAGATTCACTTTTAAATTAGGTTGATGTCCACCTTTTCATGTCTACAATATGGTCCTTGGATCACTTTCGGGGAAATAAAGTAGAACAAGATCTTGAAGACCGCGGTTTCGGCCCCTAGTTTGGGACTATGCACTAGTAAGTAGCCCTAACTTCTTCAGGGATCAAACTCACGGCCTTCAGTATATGAGAAAAGCTCGCCAACCACTGACTGACAGTAACCAACATAATTAGGTCTCTTGTTCTGAATGTGTTGACTTCCCATTCTATGTCAGTAAAAACAGGATTGGTGAAATGTTGGCAGAAAACAGAAGGCAATGGAGACGCGTAGCTGACGCCCTATGTTCCTCTAGGAACTAAAGGATATAATAATAATAATATTAATAAAAATTGGACACTGTGGTGGTAGAGTATAACTCCATTATGGATAAGATTTTATTTTGATAAACTGTCACACACAGTGTAGTGTTTGTTATACAGTAATATTAACTGATCCGACCACAAACGCCATTTCGAGCACAATTTATGTTATTCCCACTCATAACCATCACATCAAGTCACTCACTCACTCACTCACACAACTTTCTTGTTTCCTTCATTTATAGTCATGTGTGGAAGTGATGATTAGATATTGGAATAAAAATCAATATGGGATCATGTACATTCAGAAATAATAATAATAATATGAGTGTTGCAAAGCTTCTTCTATCTGTTTTATTTCATCATTTAGGTGGTTTATTTTTGTGCTACTTAGTGCTACTGCTCGGTTTGTTAGACACTTATCTTAACTAAGCCTGCCTTAACAGTTAACGGATGAGATGAATTGAAGTCTAAGTATCTATTAGCAGAATCCGTTTGTTTTTTATAAACACTAGTGTGTAGTTTACCTTCTTCTATTCGTTTCATTCTACAATCTAACATAACAGCTAATTCTCCTTGTTCATTTTCCGATTGAAATGTGAATTTTGTTCCCTCTACTAGTGAGTTTATATATGTGTGTGTGTATCGAGCAGCTAGAGGTATGTTCTGTTTTTAACGCTGTGTGTGAAAGTGTCATCCACATATCTCCACCATATTTTCGGAGTAGGATTAGGTGGATGTATTAAGAGCACTATTTTCCCAGCTGTTCATAAAGATATCTGCTACGATGGGGGATATTGGTGATCCATCCCATGGCTACACCTTGGAATTTAAAGATAGTAGATGTGAGGCATAACTGAATTCCTAAAATAATTTCTTCAATGGGTAGCTTTGTCCTATGACTCAGTTCAGGTTCTGCAGTTAGTTCTGTTTTTTTTGGCTGCTTCTAAGGCAGGCATATTGATCGCTTGGTATTATGGTATAAAGACTAGTTATATCTAAACTAACCATTTTTTCATCATTCTCTAGTTGAATGTCATTTAGTTTATTTTTCATCATTTCATATGAATTAGTTAGTTAGTCTAGTGTTTGAACGATTTCTAATGGGCATAATATTATTAGAGCTAAGTGTGTTTTATTACATGGAGGATTTCATCATGAGCTGACATCAGTTAGAGAACCACTGGAAAAGCTGGGAGTACTGAATAGCTGTTTCGTCCTAGTTTGGGAGTCTCCATCAGTACGCACCCACCGGGGTTCGAACCCAGGACCTTTTGGTTACAAGGCGAGCTCGTAGACCTTTGAGCCACTGGGAGCCGATCCAGTGGTTCTTGAATTCTAACTTCTGCCAAATATTCACACCGCAAAGTTAGACTTCAAGAACTATTGGATCGGGTCCCAGTGGCTCAATGGTCTACGAGCTAGCTCACCTTGTAACCAGAAGGTCCTGGGTTCGAACCCCGGTGGGTGCGTACTGCTGAAGAGTCCCAACCTAGGACTAGAGAAACAGGTGTCCAGTACTCTCAGGTTTTCCAGTGGTTCTCTAACTGATGTCAGCGCATGATTAAATCGTTCATGTAATCAAAGAAAATCCCTACAAAACCAATACTTGAAAACTTAGTGTGTTTTGATAATTCATAACTAGGTGTATTTCTGAAATTAATCTACTATTGGTCTTTTGGGGTAACCTGGCTTATGTATTTTAATAGTACCATATATTCTACTAGCATTATTAGTTTTAGGCATTGAATTAAATCATTTTGACTCACCCAGTGACGGCTTCATTCTGCGTATTAGTTCTGCTGTAGATTCCTTAACCTTATTCATTATTGTATCTACAGGCTTCTTAATTTCCTTATACGAACCCGTTCGAATATGTTTAGTGACTTTCTTGATATAATCAGATTTATCCAAAACTATTTTAGAGTTTCCTTTGTCAACTTTTGCG